TTCCTGAGGCGCCGGATGGTTTGCCAGAATTTCTTCGAGGCCGACCGATAGTCCTCCTCCATGGCCTCCCCGAACTTTTCCCAGACTCGAGTTTTTGCTTCCGCGACTGCCCGAGCTGCAGTCCGCTTGGCCTGCCTGTACTTTTCGGCTGCTTCAGGAGTCCTACGAACCAACCAGGCTCGATAGGACTCCTTCTTGAGTTTGACTACTTCCCTTACTTCCGGTGTCCACCACCGGGTTCGGGGATTGCCGCCACGACAGGCACCGGAGACCTTACGGCCACAGCTACGGACAACAACAGAAGTGGAGAACATAGTCCACTCAGACTTAATGTCCCCAGCCTCCCTCGGGACCTGGTCAAAGCTCTCCCGGAGGTGGGAGTTGAAGGCCACCCTCACTGGGGATTCCGCCAGACGTTCCCAACAGACCTTTCAATACATTTGGGTCTGCTCGGTCTGTCCAGCTTCGCCCCATGTAAGCGGAGCCAACTCACCACCAGGTAGTGATCAGTTGACAGCTCAGCTCCTCTCTTCACCCGAGTGTCCAATACATACGGCCGGATGTCAGATGACACGACTACAAAGTCGATCATTGACCTCCGGCCTAGGGTGTCCTGGTGCCAAGTGCACTGATGGACACACTCATGCTTGAACATGGTGTTTGTTATGGACAAACCGTGACTAGCACAGAAGTCCAATACCAAAACACCAGCCGGATTCAGATCGGGGAGGCCGTTCCTCCTGATCACGCCCCTCCAGGTGTCACTGTCGCCGCCCACGTGAGTGTTGAAGTCCCCCAACAGGACGAGGGAATCCCCAGGCCGGGTATTCTACACTGCTATTCGGCCCGTAGGCCGAAACAACAGTGAGACACCTATCCCTGACCCTAAGGCGCAGGAAAGCGACCCTCTTGCTCAGTGGGGAGAACCCCAACACACGACGGGCGAGCTGGGGAGCTATAAGCAAGCCTACACCAACACGCCGCCTCTCACCGCGAGCAACTCCAGATTAGAAGAGAGTTCAGCCTCTCTCAAGGAGTTGGGTCCCAGAGCCCAGGCTGTGCGTGGAGGTGAGCTGACTATATCTAGTCGGTATCGCTCAACCTCCCGCATAAGCTCAGGCTCTTTTCCCCC